GGGGGGGGGTTCGCCGCTACTCAGCACTCCCCGGGATTAAACTGTACACATCAACTCCGCAAACAGGCAGAAAAGCCGACTTTAGCTGGAAAAAAGGAGGCAATGAATTTAAATTATGCATGAAGCAGAGGGCATTTTGGGAAATAAGCGCCATTCCTCGTGAGGACCCGGCACCCACCTTCCATAAGCCCCCAGCCTCGGGTATCAACGAATGATCTAATGTCACGCACAGAGGAAAGGTTACTTTCTGCATACGCATTGATATTTCTGCTTCCATCTCTGACCTTTTGCTATTCAAAGCTGTGATTCTTTAAATGCGAACTCAGCCCTGCGTCTCTTTGTCTGTCGGTTTCTGTCTGTCTCCAGGGCGCCGGCATTAAAGGTAAAAAGAAAGGGGAGAAAGGGAGGAATCAGTATCAAAAAAATCCATTGATATTAAAATAAAATAGACACGTGGAATCCTCTGTTTCTGTCATGTTGAGGAAAAAACAGCTGCAGTGTTATTTTTGCCTTAATTGGCTGTTTGTGCCACATAATTACCGCTTTAGTTCCTTCCTTCTTTAAATCAGCTGATCCTGTTTCACGCTCAGCGCCCCGTGTTTGATATGTGGTTTCCGTCTTTCAGCGACAAATCAAGCAAACGTTCCTGGCATTTTGCGAACTATTACTGACTTTAAAAATACGCACTGAGCTTTAATTAATTTCCTTCTAATTGAGAGTTGTGTGTGTGGATATAGGGATCAGAATCAGAAACGGGTTTATTGCCAGGTAGGTTCACACATACGAGGAATTTGACTCTAAAGTCAGTATTAATCATTATCACCAGCTCCTGCCAAGCAGCTGAAGTGGCAGGTGTGTCGGATGTTAGGAAGGATCAAAACAACATTACAGAGGTCTTTACACACTGAAATACAAATGTTTACCCGTCTAACCTCTACCAGTCTTCTGAAAAACAGTACAGTTAACTTTATTATCTCAAAGGAAATTGCCCCCAGAAAACACAATCAAAGTACAAACAAGCATCAAAACAGACACAACACAAATATACCCAAAGCGGGGGGGAAACAATCAAATAAAAGACAGAAAACGCTTCTGGGCATTTCAACTCCTGACACTAAACACCTGGAACAGAGTAACATTAGTTTATCCCATTAGTTTGAAGCCTCGAGTTTGGTATTTTAACCGTCGCCATCTTGCTTTTCAGAAACCAAATGTACAACCAAATGCTGGAAAAGACGTTTTGTTGGCAACTTTAAAGAAGTCAAAACACTGTCAATCAAACGGTAGCCCCGCCTTAAAGCATAACCTCCAGTCAAGTGTTACCATTAATTACAAAATAAATATCATGCTGTATGTAATTATAATAATTGACTGACATAACAAATTAAGCCATAAGTAGGGTCATTTTCTCGTAGACGTCTATATAAGTGACTGCAACCATTTGTCGCCCCCTGCTGGATATTAGAGAGAATGCAGGTTTAAAGCACTTCCGCATAGCTTCACCTAACGTTAAACATTACATGTCATTTTGTTAGACGCTTTTATTCAAAGAGACTAACATACATTCAGTACTGTGGACAATCCCCACAGGAACAATTTGGGGTGAAGTGTCTCCCAGGTACACAACGACATGCTGACTGCAGTGAGACTCGAACTTGCTACACCCTGATTCGAAGTCCAGCACTCTATCCACTGAGCCACAGCCGGTTCACTACAAAAAAATGCAATAGAGTAGAGCTTGTTCTGTAAAGGAGTCACAACATTTGGGACGACTGTTCGGTCGATTTTCCATCGGAAGGATTGGGTTATGTCCCATTAGTAAATACCACAACGACTTCATCTCGATTTTCCCCCTTATCTGTTTTATTTTATATTTATTATTATTATGTGCAATGCCTTGTTTTAACATGCTTCTGTGATAAAAATGTCCCAAATTCAGATCAATAAAGTAAATCTTATGTTCTGTCTCTTCCACGTTACTCATACTGGATAACACACTGTACAAAACAATGACTAAGAAATAATAAATAGTTCCCACTTCCTGGTTGAACTCTACACACCGACTTCATCTCCATTTCCCACCTTCTCTGTTTTATTTTCTATTTGAAGATCTGTATATGTTCACGTTACTCATCCTTTCTTTGTCTCTCTGTGTTTCCAGACCTCAGGCCTCTCCCCGACGTGGCGATGACCGGTAACTGCACCCACGAATGCACCGAGTTCGGCCACTCTGACTCCTGCTGGATGCCGGGCGGCGAGCCTTCCCCCACTCGCAAGGTGTCCCTGAACGCCCCCTCCAAGGTTTCCACCTTCGTGCCTTACCAGGAGATGGAGGGGCAGGAGCAGCTGATGGCCAACGGCAGCCCCAAGCCTCTGACGGAGGACCGTGGGACGGGTACTGGAGGTTCTGGAGGTGGATCCAAAGTGGCCAACATGCGGTTCATGACCCCCTACAGCAGTGCCTACTCTGGAGACCCGTCCGGAAAAGACTGTGAGCGCGAAGACATCCCGTTGAGCCAGGCGGTCGAGTTTCACTCCGCCACGACTCCAACCGGCCAGACCTCCAAGAGGGAAATCTACCTGTGAGGGGCGAAGAGTTCCACGTTAAAACCATCTCCCTACGTGTAACCGGTCTGGTGTGACGCCACATTTATCTCTGCGTTGTGTCAAATAAAACGACAGGATTTATTATCTGTGCAAAACAGAATATAATAATTACAGCAGGAAATGGCTTCACCAGCTTTTCTACATCGACACCTCTCCTGAAGCCGACTCAGGAAGCATACACAACATTCTAAATAATTAAATTAACATATTTAACACAGGGGTGTCCAAACTACGGCCCGGGGGCCAAATGGGGACCATTGAATCGGCCCTTAGCAAATTGAAAAAGTATAATGGAATATGGGCCACAAATCAAATGTGTACTTCTTAAATATACATTTGGAAAAATGTTCTAACATATACAACAAGCTTGAAATAGACCCTTCCTAGTCCTCCTTATTATAATCAATCTGAGGCTTCTGTTTTAAGGGATGAGCTGCCAACACTCACGAGCATCCTTTACCGACATTTGATTGATTTTGTAAACTTATAACTGAACTTATGAGGCGATACACCTCTAGAGTGGCCCAGCCCTTCTGTATGTGGCCCTCGGTGAAAAAAGATTGGACGCCCCTGCTTGAACAGAAATACATTTATCCATGGTGGCAAATTCGTTTTTTTTTGTTGTAAATTAATATATAAAAATAAACAATTTACAATTACACATCACAACGCAGAGATAATTGTGACGTCAAACCAGACCGGTTACATTCACCTGATTTTCCCCCGTCGCTGCTCGCAAAAACCACAAGTCCCGCCCCCTCACCTTCGCCCCCTGTGCCTAAAATACTACCAACGCCCCTTTCTTCCTTTTTATAACTGCATCCACCAGACAAGGCTTTAGACCCTCGCCCACCTCCACCCACTGCCTCCTCCACCCTCCTCTAGAAACCAATCAAATGTAAAATAGAATGAAATCAATCGAAGAAAAACACGCGGCGACTGCTGCTGCGGAAGGAATGTAAACTACGCCACATCGTTGTGATAATTTAATGGGAAACTATTTAGCTACTCACGTATTTGAGTTGGATTTTTGTGCGTTGCTTTAGGCTTTGTTGCTGTGTTGGAACAGAAAAATAAAAAACACCTTCGGGGAGGAGAAGGAAAGAACTGTTTGTAAATCCTACTTAAGTATACTCTGTAATGCTATCTATCCTGAATATCTTTTTGGATTTGTTTGATTTGTTTTTTTGTTTTTTTTTCTCTGTCGTCTCCGAAGCCTCCGGGAAATACATTTTTCCGAGCCGTGTTGCATCAAATCAACCAGGCTCGTTTTTATCAGGAACAGCTTGTCGTCAACATAAGACGTTTGTAGGAACGCAGCTGTTTTCTAACCTCCGGAGTTGCAGTTTTTTCAGGTCTGTTAATGTTTTTCTTTTTGCTGTGAAGAGGTCTTTTTTCAGTGTACAGAGCTGTAAATACTACGAACAGTGACAGAGGGAACTGCTGTGGCTGTGAGCGTGGATCTGGTCTGCAGAGCTTCATGTAACTTCAGATTGATGGACTGAAACCGCTGCATGTACAGAGGAACGACGCCTCCCACTGCAGGAAACCTCGACTCTTGAGCATCACCGACGGTGCCGAGTTACAAACACAAGACTCTTTATTTTAAAACGCTCTACAACTTTACTACTCGGATCAATTAGGGTGAAAGAAGGGTCGAAACCATGCGCACCGATATCAAACCATTCATAGCCGAACGAAGCCAGGGGATCGGTCAAAGCTGAGTACATATTGTATTATTAATGCTCTTGTCAGTAGTATACCATGAAAGCAAAACCAAACATGTGTGTGAAGGTTAACTTTATTGTCACGGAAAGCTATCCAAAAAAAAAGTCACATTCGAAACATGTATTTTGGTTTTCTCTGTATAAAAATATCCTTCATTTATCAATATTTCAACTTTTTCCACCTACAGTATGAGTACCTTGTAAAAATATGTCAAACAAACTTTCACATGTGGGACGTTTAAAAGTTTTTATATAGCTATGTCTTTAGGCTGAGTGATCGTTGTGGAGATGAAATTAAAAATAGTCTATCAAGAAAAAGTGAATTGGCCAGTTTTTTGTTTGATCCATCGTGTGTACGTTTTGAGGTCAAGCCGAACCGTCAGACAATAATTGGCTCTTTCTTCATCGATGTGTTTTCTTTTTCATTTTCGAATCACCCTAACCTGCATGTCTTCGGGTTGAAA